GGGGTCTACGGCGCTCCCACGTAGAGCTGTGTTGGTGGCGGGACCCGTGGGCGCTACCCATGGTCCCTTACCTTCGGCACACCACTCAGCATGATAAGTATCATGCTATTAGAGTCTCCCAACAACCCATAAAGAGCCTACAGCAAAGGGGCACGTGTAGGCTTGATTGGCGTAAAACCTTCCCAGATGTCTCTGGCACTACCCAGGACTACTCTGGGGACCCTTCCGGATAGCTCACGCTAACTCCGTCAGTTTTGGTCCGTTTTACTCCGTTCCTTTTGGAGAAGGTACCTGACCTTCTCACCTTGGCCCCCTTATATATCCTGCGAACAGCTTCCGGTCGGACGGACGGCGACGACGTATACAGTGTTATGGACATGTCTTCATAGATTCCATTTAACTAGCATAACGGCAACTCCACCCATTTTGGCCCATGACGCCCGGGGCGAACCCTGGGGCCGCAGGTACCTGTTAGGAATAATTCTGTCAAGTTACAGCATGTTCGGAGCACTCTAGCTCCTCCCGTAGTCTTCCGATCAATATACAAGCAAGTGCCCGTCGATCATCATTGCGTAACAAACAATCCTAACATTACACGGAATCTTTCCGAAAATGTTTCCGACGGAAGGTAGGGTAATAGTGTCCCAAAGGTAGGGTAAGTATGTCCATGGTGACACGAAATTGGTCTCCATGGCAGGGTAACGTGATTTCCCTAGACAGGGTAAACTCACCCGGCCTTCCGACCTATCCTTAGGCCGGAACCGATGTGGTCACATCACTTCCACTACTTAGGTACACCTATTTCTTAAGTACCTTCTGTTCTTCGGGATACCCGGACCATCGGGTATCTCCTGGACATGCTCAGGCATGCCCTCCTAGTCTACCATATAGCCTCTTGGCCTTATGTATGGGCGTAGACGTAGGTTGCCATAGCTCCATAACGTAGGGTCGTTACAACGGCTCTGGGGTAGACTACGGTGGAAAGTGTCTGAAGGTGGGAGTACAGAGCGGCCTCCTCTGCTCCCGCCTTTCCCAAGGTGGGATCCCCCAGTACCTAACAGCATGGGTGGGAAGTTTCCTCCGGGACAGGTCCTGTGCCCTCCAATTCCAAGGCTCCCCGAAGACCATGGCCCCTG